AGTGTCTAGGCAGGAAAACTATAAATGGAGCCCTTGGAACATTTTTATCTTACCTGAAAGTAAGGTACTATGTATGTAAAGTGATGGGGCATGAGAGAAGGATATATGAGCAACCTAACAGGTTTTAGTTCACCAAGGCTCAAGTTCTAAAAGTATACATAGTAATGGAGTATAAGGTCCAGAATAAAATACATTTATTAATACTGACATAAGTAACTGAGAGAACGAAACCCCTGTACAATCCCAATTAATTAATATATTTGGAATAATGGATATCTCCCTAGGATATATTTTAATACAAAAAATTAAGAAGCCTATACTTTGTGTCAAAATATGGAAATCAAACACCTGAGGATCAGTCTCAGATTGGAAGAGTATATCAAAACTTCCTTTCTTCCCTTTTCTTTCTTGGTTTTTCTTCACTCTGCCCACTCCTGTCCCACCCCCCCCCCTTTTTTTGCCACTCCCAGGGCTTGAACTCAGCTTCTTTTGCTCAAGCCTAACCTCAACTTTTCTTCCTCCCTCCTTACCTCCCTCCCTCCCTGACTTTTGAGCCTTGAACTCAGGACCTGGGGGTACTGTCCCTGAGGTTTTTTTGCTCAAGGCTACCGTTCTGCTACTTGAGCCAGAAGTCCACTTCTGGCTTTTTGGTGCTTAAATTGGAGAGAAGAGTCTCATAGACTTTTTTGCCTAGACTGGTTGTGTGTTTGTGTTTCTTTTTTTCGGTTGTATTCAAGGTTTTCCTCTTTATATTTGGTTTTTAAGAATTGGTGTATTATGTAACCAGAGGTTAGTATTTTATAATTATACTGCTTTTGATTTTGTCTTAATCTTCTGTGTGTAAAGTTTTATGTCAGTTTTGAAAAATGTTTAGCTTTTGTTCTTTGAAATAGTTTTTTTTTTCCTTCCCCTCTTTTCTTCTTAGATTGAAAGTCCATGCATACTAGTCTTTTTATTGTCCTAAACATCTTGATGTCTTTTGTTTCATCTGTTGAGTTCTATTGATTTGTTTTTTATTGGGTGTTTTTTAAAAATTGAATTTGCTAATTCAGTCTACCTAGTCTTTTTGAAAAAAATTTAAAGTCACAAACACCTTTTAATCATAATGATAGTCATCATTATCTTAATCTATGTTGCTTATGAACTCTATGCTAGTCATTTTTTAAAATTTCAGATTAGTATCTAGCAGTTCTAGAAGTGATTGTTTCCATTTTTCCTGTAGTATGATTTCCTGTTTATTCATGCATGTTGTATTTCTTATTCTCTGTGATATTGTTTTAAAGTACTAGCTTTAACCACCAAATTTTAATATTTAAGTAATTTCACAGTTGTCATTTCCATTTCTTTTAAATATGATTGTTCATTAAGTCTTGTAATTTTATCTGTCATGAGCAATCCACTGTAGAGTATGTTAAACTTTTCTGAAGATTAGTTTTTTATTTTACTAATCATTTAATTTACATTACTAATAATTCAGTTTACATTTAGAAGATTATTACCTGTTAGGAGCAGCATCTTAAATTATTTTTCAGTTCTTATAGGTTGTTTGACATCTGTTTGTGTGTAGTTTAGTGGTCAACCAGAGATTTGGGCAATTTCTATGCAGTTTGATGTTTCCCCTTTGTGTCCTTGCAAATTCTCCTTACTTCCACTTCTATTGGTGGCCTCAAAGTCTGTCTCATGATTTTTCTGGTAAGAAAATAGGATTGCTAATTTGAGACTAGTACCAATTTGGCCTTGCCCCTCAGGTAAAAATCCGAGGAAAGGTAGATAGTTCATCCAATGTTACTTCATTCCTCTGAGTGTTAGCTTTTTCTTTGGCTTTAGCTTGATTTTGGTGTCCATCCAGTGCTTTCTGGTAAATTGCTTTTCTATTTTATCTACAATTTAAGCTCTCTGTGGAGTGTTATTTTGGCATTGCACTTGTACTCAACAATGCTAACAATAAACTCATTGTTTTCAATACATTATTTATAATTACTACTTAATAGCTTTCTGTAGCCATCCAACATGTTTTGTTTGTTTTGTTGGTCATGGGGCTTGAGCTCTTTTTGCGCAAAGCTGTCTACCACTTTGAGCCACAATACCATTTTCAGTTTTCTGGTGGTTAATGGGAGATAAAAGTTTCATGGAGTTTCTGCTCAGGCTTCCTTTGATCCACAGTCCTTGGATTTCAGCCTCCTGAATAGCTAGGATTACAGGTGAGAGCCACGGCCTAGCCTATCCAATGTATTTTATGTCTCAGTCGTTCTAGTGACAGATCTAGCTTGGCATCAACTTCTCTGTACTACAAACAGTACAACTTAGAACATTGCCAGTGGAAAGCTTTCTTTGTGTGTGTGTGTGTGTGTGTGTGTGTGTGTACGGACATGCACACATACATATGTATATAGACACGTATACATGTGTATGTCTATACACACATGTGATTCCTTTGTTCACATGTCTACAAATGCTTGAAATTACCCAACTTCCTCAGAATATAGTATATCAGTTAAACCACATTGTCTGATTTCTAGAGTTGTTTTCATCTTTTATGTGTTAGGTTTTGTGTCCATTGCCTATTTTTCTACATATTTTGTTTTGTTTTTAGTAGTACTAGAGTTTGAATTAAGGGCCTCATGCTTGATAAGTGGGAGTTGTGCCACTTGAGCTATGCCACAGAGCTTCATTATTTTCATTGCTTTCATTATTTTTTGTGCTTATTATGTATCAAAGATGATAAATATGCACCACTACAACTAGTTTTATATTGGCTGAGTTGGGGTAGAAGAGGGTCTTACTAACTTTTGGCCTGAACTGGCCTCTAACAACAATCCTCCTTCCTTGGCCTGTTGAGTGCTAGGATTACACACTGCACGATCTCAGCCACTTATGCTTTTGTCTTTGCTCTTCCTGATAGTTTGTGCTATTTTTGGCCATGTTTAATAAATTACCATGTCAAAGAAATATTCCCCTACATTGTGTCTACATTTTTCCTTTCATATTTAGGTTCACAATATAGTTGACTTCTTTTCTATTTTTATTCCCTCTTCCTCTCCCCTCCCCCATGTGATATGAGGTAAAATTCCAGCTTGATGCTTCTTGATATGATGCAACCATTTTTTTCCAAGTATGTTTTTTCTTTTTATTACTAGTGTTTGGGGGTTATGTGTTAATACCTGTTCTTCAAGGTGATCTTCCTAAGATATAAATCTGACCATATTACTTGAAAATTTTGAGTAAATCCATTGTGTTTGGATACAGTCATCTTTTGGGAGAGGGCAATACTAGGATTTGAACTTGAGACCTTCAGCTTGCTTAGCTTGTTTGCTCCACTGGCACTCTTCTACTTGAGCCATGTGTTCAGTCTCAGTTATTTTGGTTCAGAAAGCCCTTTTATGAATTAGTCTCTACTTGTTTCTGCAAAAAAAAAATCTTCCCAGCCTGCTAATATTTTTAAAATGTATACAATTCTTCGCTGGGAAGCTTCATACTATTATTCTACACAGTACACAGTATCTTCTGTTTTTTTGTTTGTTTGTTTGTTTGTTTGCATTTTTCAGTGTACGGTATTCGCAGTCATTTCTAGTATGTGTTTTACATTCAATCATTGTTTTTGATTGAAGGAATTGAATTGAGTAACAGCCTTTATCCTTCAGTAGCTGTCTCTTTTAGACCAAAGTAGTGTTTAGGGGAAATAATTTAGTTTGTGAAGAAAAGCTTACTTCATAAGTACTGATCATCTCAATAGGCAATTCTCTACAATCTTCCCTATTTATATAGCATTGTTGCATCCAAAATTCTTGGCTCATCTCATTTGATCCTTAAGACAACTGTAGATAGAAAGATTGGTCATTACATCTTTTAGATCAATTATTTTATGTTAAATCATAATATAAGTGTTATGTTTGAGGTATGTGTGGCTAATTTTGTATTTCTACCTATTCTTTGGAAAAGTTGTGTTTGCTCAGGCACTCATGAACTAGTAGTAATATGAGTAAAGGCCACTTTGGTTGATTCTTCTGCCAACTACATTTTAAAGGTAATATTTGTGAAATTTTCTTTATTGGCTTTTTCCTTTTGTAGTGGAGGAAATTCCTTAAGTTTTATGACTGTAGTGATGGTGGCTTTCAATCATACTAATATTTTTGGGCAGAGAACTATGAGTAATGATTGCATCTAAAGATTTGCCTAAGCTGGGCACCAGTGGCTCATGCCTGTAATCCTAGCTAATCAGGAGGCTGAGATCCCAGGATTGCAGTTCAAGCCAGCCCAGGCAGGAAAGTTTATGAAACTCTTATCTCTAGTTGACCACCAGAAAACCAGAAAGTTGAGCTGTGGCTCAAAGTGGCTCATCTTGAGCTGAAAAGCTCAGGGACCATGTCCAGGCCCAGAGTTCAAGCCCTACAACCGGGGCGGGGGTGGGGGGGGGTGGGATTTGCCCATGGAACTTGAAATAGTGTTTCACTGTAACTGTAGTAGTTTTGATATATTTGAAATCAGATTTATTGTAAATATTTTATGAGATATATTAAAAGCTGCATCTTTAAAACTTATATCTTAATTAGTTTTGTACTTTAAATTTTGTTAACAATTGTTTTTGCCATATGATCTGTTATTTGAGTTGCTTGGGAACTTAGTGTTTATGAACAAACAGATTATGTATTTGGAGACAGAATAATTATCTGATTCACTAATGTTACTAAAACCATTGAGATCACTTGTGTTATTAAATAGGATGAGATTGTTTTAGCTATTGAGAATTGGAAAATTTCTAAAGGTAGTATTTAACGATATTTGGAACAGTCCATGTTAGTTTTATTGATGCTAGATACTCTGGAACATGGCCTGTTCAGAGCTTTTCAGTGCTATAAATGAACCCTAAATGGAAACAGTACTTTGTTCTTTATGTTTCTTTTCCTACTATGCTAAAGCATTATTGTTATATAATTTTTACTCTATGAGGTAGTTATTTTAAAGATTGTATTAATTTTTCTGTAAATTTCTTTATTCTTTAGAGGAAGTATCATTCTGCAAAGGAAGCTTATGAACAACTTTTGCAGACAGAAAACCTTTCTTCACAAGTAAAAGCAACTGTCTTACAACAATTAGGTATGTAAATAGTATATGTTCAGTGTATTATAGGTATTTCTCTATGTTTTACACAGTTGCTCAGAGTTGATCAAGTAATCTGAACCCAACATATTTCCACACTCTGCTAAGCATTTTCTATAATACAGTCAATGTTAGTATCATTATTTTGTGCAGATAGGCTTTGTAAATTCTCAGAATGATTCACTGGTATTTTACCCATGGCGAGTATTACATTTTCCTTTTGTACTACATAAATGCTTAGCACTCAACAAAATTAAGTGATTTGACTACAGTCACGTAGTAGTTGGTGAGCTTTCTTTCATAGCTTTATCAATATCAGTAAGCAAAACAGTTATCTAAAAATTGCAGAACATCTAGCGCAGGATAGTTTCTATATAAGCATAGAATTCTATTCTAATGTTGAATTTGTGGAATCTAGCTATTTAGTTGTCATGTGTTGATGTCCAAGAAGATAATGAAGAAGCTGGCAAACATATAATTTTATTGCCTAGTTACCAATTCTTGTTTTCTATTTGTACTTTGAATTTGAGAGTTTTTTTTTTCATTCTGTTTATGTGGTTTTGGTCTTGGAAATGGTTTATTAATTTTTAATCAACATTATTTTTGGATCTTTTCATAAGATCCAAAAATCATCAAATCTTATTCAAGCTGAGATTTATTAATATCATGGTTAACTGTAAATTGTGAATACATTGCCTTCATATAAACCTATGTTTTTAGTTTTTCATTTTATCCATTAGAATTTTACTTGTGTATACCCTTCAGAAATATGGAGATATCAAAACATTTATTTTTATCAAGTGATATATATAGTGTTATAATAATGTGAATTGATGTCTTAACTAAAACATTTAAGTCTGTTAGTATACTAAGAATGGTTAGAATTCTTAGGTAAACACTACTAAGTGTGATATGTTCAAAATGAAGAATTTATTCATTAAGCTAATGCTGAAATACAAACTTTTAGAGTGGAAATACTAGAGTTCGATGTCGGGGCCTCATACTTGTTACACTTGTGCCCTACCACTTGAACCAGGCTTCCAGCTCTGCTTTTTTGCTGGTTATTTTAGAGATAGACTCACAAATTTTCCTCCTGGCTGTTCCTCAAAGTGTAGTCCTCTAGATCTCTTCCTCCTGAGTAGCTAGTATTACAAGCATGAGCTACTTGCAGTCAGTTATTTTTATCCACACTATTATCATGAACGCCCCCCCCCCCTTTTTTTTTTGTCGGTCCTGGGGCTTGACCTATGGGGCTGGGTGTGTGGCTCTGGTAGAATACTTGCCTAACAAGTACAAGTCTCTGAGTTCAAATCCTGGTAAAGTCCAAAAATTAAAAGCAGTTGGTAGGTGCTGGTGGCTCACACATGTAATCCTGGATACTCAGTAGTAGAGACCTTTAGGATCGAAGTTCACAGTTAGTTGGGGCAGAAAATCTTATGACACTTTCATCTCCAGTTAACCAGTAAGATACCAGACTAGAGGCATGGCTCAAGAGTTAGAAAGTACCAGCTGTGTCAAAGAAAGCCTAGTGAGAGCGTAAAGCCCTGAGTACACTTTTAAAAGAAATAAAAAACATTGTAACTATATCTCCTTAAGATATCTTTTGGTTCATATCAAATAGAATAAGTGTCAGAAATAAGAGTTCTTATTTGTTACATAGACTGTACATAAAGAATAGAGCTAATTGATTTATACTTGAATTTATTTACAACTGACATAAGACCTACTGGTAAATTTCCATAATCCAATTTTTTGATGGATTACTTAGCCATCTAATTCTTTGAAATTTATTTATTAGACAAACATTTGTGGTATTTACAACTTCTTAGGACCTTGTACTTGGCTAGCTTAATTGCAGCTGACACTCTACCACTTTAGCTTCACCTCCAGTCCAGCCAGGTAATTTTGTTGGTAGAATCTCTTGGAGTTTTGTTTCCAGGCTGGCTTTGCACTCTGGTACTATAGATTTCAGCTTCCTGAGTAACTAGGATTACAGTTGTAAGCCATCAATGACTGGTGTATTTGTACAATTTTAATGTATTTTTTTTATAGCCTTGAGGATTTTTTTTTAAGTTGTCAGACAAGTGTCCATCCATCGTGTGTCCATCCATATTGGACTCCACCTCACAGCCTGTGTACTGTCCCTTAAACCTTTTCACTCAGTGCTGCTGTTCTACAACTTAAACCACAGCTCCACTTTGGGCTTTAATGGTTAATTGAAGAGAAGAACCTCACAAACTTTCCTGCTCTGGCTAACATGATGCTCAGATCTCAGCCTCCTGAGCAGCTCAATTTATAGGTGTGAGCCACTGGTACCAAGCTAGTTGATGTTTCATAATGTGTATATAAGGTGTGATTATATCTAGGCAATTCCAATGAGGTAGTGTTTATGTGTATTTTAATCAAAACTGTCAGTGATTATATTGGCCTATATTCTTTGGAAACAAATATTGTATCAATATAGCATCTTGGAGAGTCTTAAAATGTGCCTTCATTTTTGTTTTTATTTATTTATTTTTGAATAAAAGGTCTTCATCACTTTGACATTATTTATTACCTTACTGTGAGAAACAGATTTTCTTATTGTAAGAATTAGTGGTTCTAAAATTTGGAAATGAGTACCTTGAACTAAATAAGAGTGTTGTTCTTCATTTTCTACTTAGTATTCTTAAAAATAGAAGAACTGTTATGTAATATGTGTAAATAATTTTAAATCACAATAGGTTGGATGCATCACACTGTGGATCTCCTAGGAGATAAAGCCACCAAGGAAAGTTATGCTATTCAGTATCTCCAGAAATCCTTGGAAGCAGATCCAAATTCTGGCCAGTCCTGGTATTTCCTTGGAAGGTAATACTTAGCAGATATTTGCTTTCCTTTTTTTTTTTTTCTATTCCAGCTAGGATATTTCAATTATAATCCAAAATGTTAGTTTACAGTTATATCTTGAACAGTGTATTTTCTCTTATAAATACATTATAATGAAGATTCCTAAAAGATAAATTACAAAAGAGAGTTTCTAAATATGGTGATTTGTTTTCCTTTCTGATAGTGTAAATGTCATGATAACATGGATTAAACAGTATATGCTGTAATAGGGTTTTCTTTTTACTTCAGATTAATACTTCAATACAGTATCAATAGTGTGAATATCTTTTTAGCATATGCTTTAAAGTTTAATTCTATCTTTATGAAGTTAATATGCAGTGAACCATTTTTTAAATAATTTTAATAGTGCTGAAATTTTTGTTTTTTGTAGTTAACTGATTTTACATTCTAAATTATTGACATGCTTTTAATCAAATCTTTTGGGAAGTTTTTCAAAAAGTAACAGATCGTAATTTAACTTGCTTTGGGGTTCAAGGTGATCATTTTAGACATTCATTGTCTTTCATCTATAGTTATTCTGGGTCTGATTTAGCCTTTCTTTGGTGTTTTCCTTATCCTATTGTTTATATTACCTTTTATATTTGGCCTCTATTTTGTTTCATTTTGAAAAATTTTTTACAAATTATAGTCTAGAAGTTACTAAATTTCCAAACACAACTTTGAGTAAGAAACTTTGAGTAAGAAACTTTGAGATTTGATGACTAATATTTCTAAGGCTTTTTATTACCCACCTCATTCAGGACTGTATTGAAGATTAAATCAGCTCATCATTTAGCATATGTATATCAAAATGAGATTGTAGTGTGCTATTCTGCTAGACAAGCCCCAGTCAGTCATTGACCATGTTATCACAGAAATATAGATTGTTAGTGCTAAAAAAGACCCTGTAAATCATGTCATTTTATAAATGTACAAAGTGACTTATGAGGAGTTAAAATGTTTTGTCCAAAGTCATGTAGATGTAAGAGCAGGGACTAGATCATAGTATCTATCAAGCCCTTTTCAGTTCCACAAGGCTGTCCGAGGGGAAGGTAGTTAGTTAAGCTTTTAAAACATTGGTTTTAGGAAATAATGCTTATTTCTTCCAGTGATTATAAAAAAGAGGTTTTCTCTAAACTTGAAATATGATTTTGATTTTATAAGAAGAAAAACAAAAGGAGTCTATTTTCTATCTGTGTAGCATTCTCTTTTTTTCTGGCTTCTCTCCCTGTTTGGCACTATTTCTGATACCTCACAGATTTCCCTTCATAAAGCAGTTTACTGTCTGAAACTGCCTTCTCTGTCTTCAGTCACTAACTTATCTGATACTGCCTATTCTGCAAGATAGTTCATAGGCTTATTTTAATCTTTCTCAAGTGTTTTGTGTTCTTATAGCCTATCTTCCAAACTGATAAAAAAATCAGTATTCCTACACTTAAAGCTATATTAAATTCAAGGACCATATCTGTTCCTTTAATATTTTCACCCGTGTCAAAGAGTGAGCATTTTAAACAATATTCATCAATATTCTTCCCCAAGTTAGCTAGTCTCCTCTTCCTTTTGCCAAAAATATGACCATCTCTCCCCCTTTTTTAGTACTGAGGATTGAACTATACCCCAGCTCCGTTTTCTGAATTGTTTATTCAGGTTTAAAAACAAGCTACTAGTCCTCCACTTGTTTGGACATCTAATCAGTTAATCATGGAATTTTTTTTCTTTTTCTCTCTTATTTCTCATCTTGTGCTTGCCATTTCTATTACTTCCTCCTGTTCCGAACAGGTGAATATAAACATCCTCTGTTTTACTGTCCATACTTGTTTTCTTTTTAATGTATTCTACATATTGTTAACAGCTAAGTCTTCCTGTAAAATGCTTTCATTGTTCTATTCCTCCTATTGGGAAAGCAAACTTCAGGGTATTCTTTGGTTGCACTGAAAATTCTTTGTTGTTTTGTGTTTGTACTTTCTTATATTGTTTGTACTAGTCAAATGTGCTCGAAATGCTTTTGCTCATTTTCTCATTTGCTCATATATATGTATATATATTTGCTCATATATATATGTGTATGTATATATATATATATACACACACACACATATATATATATATATATATATGCTGTTTTTATTTATCTGTCCCTCTATCTAATCTATCTGTATCAGTCTGGAAAAATAACTGGTGGGAATATGGGATTCACGGATCTGAATAATAAACACCTGCACATTCACATCCCTTATTCTTACCCATCCACTTCTTTCTTTCCTAACTCCTGCAGGGGATGATAACGTCTTTTATATTGGCTATGCTAGCCTTTTGATGATGCATTGTCCACCCTTAAGTCAAGGACTAGGGTTTGTTAGGCATTTCCTTTAGTGTCCACTATCAAGAAGATTTCTGTATTTATAATTGCAGCTGCTGTTTGTATATCCATCAGGTACATTCACATTAAGAAAATAACATGTTCTTGAAACTTTGATCTTAATTTACTCTTTACTATTCACGAAATATACTTCACACAATTTTATACTATTTTATAATATCTAGTTTGAGATTAACTATGTTCCATTTGCAAATTATTTCTCTTTGTTATTGAGTAAAGAGAATCGAAGTCTAATTCATCATCATAGTTATTTTAAGTTTTGTTTTTTTATATTTCTTTATTATTACTATTCAGTAGTTGTACAAAGAAGTTACAATCCATAAGTCAGGTTATAAGTACAGTGTTTCTTGGTCAGTGTCACCCCTTTCTTCCTTCTCTCTCATTTTTCCCTTCCCATCCCTACCTTCAAGTTATATAGTTTCAATTTTGAGTAATGTGCATTGGCTGTAATGACTGCATTTGATCACTCTTCCTCTCTCCATTTGTGTGCTCTTCCCTTTTGCCTTCCCTCCCCAAACATTCATTTTGAGAAACAGTACATTAGCTGTTCAGAGGAGTTACACCTTTGGATTCCTCCTCTAAGTATTAACTGCATATTCTATGTAGGAAACTAGAGATCAGAATGGACAAGTAGAATGAGAAGGGGCTGTGTTTAACTTACAGTATTGTAACACTGAAATGATAATGTCTGTATTTATTATAGTAGATTTCATTATCATAAAATGCTTTAGCACCTATGAGACAGACTATAATAGTTTATTGAGGGGACAATTATAATGTATACTCTTTAATTTCCTGCTATATATACATACAAACATAAATATATTAGCCTATTAGGTTCTCAAAAATTGCCTTGATACATAGTCCATCCTTTCAACAAATAAATTTATTTCAGTATTAATGGAATTTTTTTTTCCCCCTCTTCCCTGTCAGGTGCTATTCAAGTATTGGGAAAGTTCAGGATGCCTTTATATCTTACAGGCAGTCTATTGATAAATCAGAAGCAAGTGCAGATACATGGTGTTCAATAGGGTAAGAATTTGTATAAAATTAGCTATAATTAATATGTAAAGATAGTTAAGTCATATAATGTACTTTATAGTTTAAAATTATGCTATGATACTATGCAGTTCTTAGTGGATATTTGTTTTTTCTCTTAATTTTTCTTTGTAGTGTGCTATATCAACAGCAAAATCAGCCTATGGACGCTTTACAGGCCTATATTTGTGCTGTACAATTGGACCATGGCCATGCTGCAGCCTGGATGGATCTAGGCACACTCTATGAATCCTGCAACCAGCCTCAGGATGCCATTAAATGCTACTTAAATGCAACTCGAAGTAAAAGTTGTAGTAATACCTCTGCACTTGCAGCACGGATCAAGTATTTACAGGTAAAAATTTTAAATAGTTTTTTTAAAGTTGCATATTTCCCCAGGACACTCAGGCAGAAAGAGGGTGGCTGGAAAGTTTTGTCTAGTTGTGTTTTGATGTCTATAATCTGTTTCCATATTTTGTAACATACCATAGCTTGTAATATTATTTTACTTTTCATTTTAAGTAAGATGCAGTATTTTAAAAGATGCTCTTTTGCACATTGACGCTGTTGATGCATATTAATTTACATAATTTTTTTCTATGTACTGTCTACATTTTTAAGTTGTCATAGCATTTTAGAGAAAAGAACACAAACACTGTCTTTCACTCTTGCTTGGAGTTTCCTGAGAAGACAGCTATAAGAACTCTGAAAACAGAGCTCAGCTTTGTTTTGATTCCCACAAAGGTTTATATTCTGGTTACCCTCTTTATACTTAGTATCATTCTAAAGCCCCAAATTTAGAATCTATTTTCTTTTAAAAACAGTTAGCTATAGCATTTAGGAAGATTTAGTGGACTTGCTCTTACTCAAGTAGGCTTGTGTTAAATTTGCTTTTTACATAATTTTTCCTAGGCTCAGTTGTGTAACCTTCCACAAGGTAGTCTACAGAATAAAACTAAATTACTTCCTAGTATTGAGGAGGCATGGAGCCTACCAATCCCCGCAGAGCTTACCTCCAGGCAGGGTGCCATGAACACAGCACAGCAGGTGAGAAGTTGGGTTATGTTCTGCAGGTGCCCAGCTTTAAGGGTTCTTTTCAATCTGTAGTGGTCAAGCTAATTTTAACTAAGCAAAGAAGGCTTTTATTAATGGAAAGCCTTTTGATTTAATTGCAGAAGGGAATCTAGATAGAAATAAAATTCCCTCTGATATGGGAAGAAATTTTGGGGTACCAATTTAGAACCTTTGTGCATTTTCATGATTTTCAGAGATTTCCTAACATAATGCTTCAGTGATTCAATTAATTTTGAAAGCAGATTTTTCCAAGGAAGGTACACATTCCTCCATTGACAATTCATTTGATTTTGATTTTCAATAATTACAACCAGCGATGTCCACATTTTGAAAAGTATGTAGCTTGTGAAGTTTTATAATTTGAAGGAATGATTAAGAATATATAGAACCCTATTTTTGTCTTCCTTCTGTGATTCTTAGGCATGTAAACCTCATCATCCAAATACTGAACCTGTATTAGGCCTCAGTCAAACACCAATCTCACAGCAACCCTTGCCACTACACATGATTCCTTCTAGCCAAGTAGATGACCTGTCCAGTCCTGCCAAGAGGAAAAGAACATCTAGTCCAACAAAGGTATATGTTTTAGAGAAATAGAAAAATCCCAGTCAAAAAAGTAGCTCCAACTGCCCTGAAATTGTGCAGTTTGAACATCTCTTGTCCTTTACTTTAAATCTGTGGACATCAAAAGAGTGAAAGGTTTCCGTTTTTTTCCATCCCAAATTTTAGAATCATATTGAAAGTAGGGATAAATTTGCATTCATCAAATCATTTTATTCATCTCCCTGCCGTTAAGCTCTCAGCACACTTTTCATCATCACTTTTTTTACTGACATGGAAATAAATTTAGTGTTGGATCTAGTAGACAGTGTGATAAATAGGCTAGTCGTTTGGGCCATAGTTTAGGGGTGGGCCTTTTTTTGGGTGGCTTATTAAAGTATCAGTATTCTTTAAATTTATGATTTCTAAGTTTAATATGCATGTAAAATTATTTTTTAAGAATGTAACATAACATCTTTTTGTATGTAAATATTCCAATTCATACTCATTTGGCCTCCATTAGTCATTATTGTTAACTCTGTGGACTTAACTAAATACTCTTAATTTTTTTTTTTTAAATCAATTTTCCTCAGAGTACTTCTGATAATTGGAGTGGTGGCCATGGTATGTCACATCCTCCTATACAGCAACAAGCTCATTCGTGGTGTTTGACACCACAGAAATTACAGGTATGTAAGATAAGCTTTTGAGAAATTATTTTTTCTTTTGAAGACATAGAGGCAGTAAGCTTAAAGTTTAAAGTATTAATTCTTGAATGATAGTAAATTCAGTATGCACATAAGCAAAAGGCACCCCCATATACCAGAATTCACTTGTTTTTGTTTATTTTTTTTAAAAAATAAGTAATACAAATAGTTCAAACTAGATAAAGAATAAATCTAGGTTACTAGATTTATTTACTAGCTCACTTCCCATCTGTGTTCATTTAGTATTAATACTTTTTAACTGACTTTCTAGGGATATATTTTGCGTATGTAAGCATGTATATGCACCTTTTCTTATTTTTTCTTTTTTAAAACATCACAAAATACTGCATGCATTCAAGTAGATCCTTCCTCCTTATTTGTGGTTATACTTTCTGCTGCTTCAACCATGATCCAAAATTATTAAATGGAAAATTCCATAAATAAATCATTAATATCTTTTTTATTGTTAAGGTGATGTTCAGAGGGGTATCTTTTACAATACAGTATTCTGATGGGCATAATGAAATCCCACTTTACCCCACAAGTGATATGAATCATCCCTTAGTCCGGTGTACCCAGGCTGTCTAGTCTACTTGGCCTTTAGTCATTTAGTATCCATCTTATTTATCCAAATGACTTTTAATGTTGTAGTGCCTGCATTGAATCAATCTCTATAAATAATGGCTTTCTTGAAGTAAAAAAGTAAAAGTCTTCCCTTCCTAAGAAAAGAAAAATTCTATATTATGGTTTCTAAGAGCTACAGTACCAAGGAATGTCTGTGATATTGTGAAGAGGAAAAAAGTAATTTGTTCTACTTTTAGTGTTACACCTCAAAGTATAAAAGTTATGACCATAGTTTATTAGGATGAGGATGGAAAAGGCATTAAATGACATTCATGGTATTTATCTGTGGCTTCAGGCTTCACTAGGAGGTCTTAAAAGGTATCCTTTTTAGATAAGTGGTTCTGCTATAGCTTATTAATAATATATTTTACAATGCTTTTCATGTCAGTATATAAAGAACTTTCCTGTTTTATTATTATACCATATTTCTTTAGATATTAAAATATTATTCAAACAGATCACTAGTTGGACATTGGATTTGTCTTAAAGGCTTTCCTTTTCCAAAGAGTTCTGGTTTCAGTGTACTAATCATAGTGTATTGTAAAGGTTAAAGAATTTTATAAATAATGAATGAATAAATAATGAATAAAATTTCATCTTCATGTCTTCCAAAGATCACAGTAGAGCAAACTTTCAGGTGGATACATAATTCTTACTCAGGTTTTTTACCTTTTGAAAGAAATTTGTGTTGGGTTTGATGATTGTGAGAAATCATCTAATCTGCTATTGGCTCACACACAGTCAGTTGTTTCTCAGTAAGGTTGCTCACAATTTTTAAGCTTGTTTCTGAGATATATTTTGGACATATATTTTGATATATAGTAACTATATTTTCTTTTTCTTTTAGCACTTGGAACAGCTCCGTGCAAATAGAAATAATTTAAATCCAGCACAGAAACTGATGCTGGAACAGTTGGAAAGTCAATTTGTCTTAATGCAGCAACACCAAGTGTGTATAACATTTTGTTCTCTAAAGTTTGTTGACATTTTCTGTATTTTGTTTGTCATGATTTTAGAGCACAATCATATCTATGTTTACTTTCTACCAGTATTTGAATTCAGTAGTTGATGCTTAAAATGCTGGCGATTGTTGTTGTTTGTTTGTGTTGCTGCTAGGGCTTGAACACAGAGCCTGAGTACTGTCTCTTAGTTTTTTTCCTTGAGGCTGGTCCTCTACCACTTGAGCTATAGCTCTACTTCGTGTTTTTGGTAGTTAATTGGCAATAAGAGACTCTTGGGGACTATGAAGGTGACTTAGTGGTACAGTGCTTGCCTTGCATGCATGAGGCCCTGGGTTTGATTCCTCAGCACCACATAAGCAGAAAAAGCTGGAAGTGGTGCTGTGGCTCAAGTGGTGGAGCGCTAGCCTTGAGCTGAAGAGCTGAGGGACAGTGCTCAGGCCTTTCGACCAACCCTCCTCTCCCTCCCCCTACCCCCCCACCAAGAAAAGAAAAGAAAAAACAACTTTTGGATTTGCTTGGGTTAGCTTTGAACAATGATTCTGAAGAATCTCCATACGGATTTCCATAGTAGTTGCAGTAATTTACATTCCCATCAACAATGTATTAGGTTCCCTTGTCCATATTCTCACTAGCCTCTGCTGCTCTTCCTTGCTTGCTTGCTTGCTTGCTTGCTTGCTTGCTTGCTTGCTTCCTTCCTTCCTTCCTTCCTTCCTTCCTTCCTTCCTTCCTTCCTTCCTTCCTTCCCTCTCCCTCCCTCCCTCCCTCCTTCCCTCTTTCCCTCCCTCTCTCTCTCTTTTTTTCTTTCTTTCTTTTTTATTTTCCATAAAGAAAAAATCTTACATTTTATTTAATACTTGGGCCAGTTCAGCCTTCCCCACTATGCCTGGAAAGTATCTCCAGTTGAAGAAAGAACCAGACTTTACTTTCTTGCATGTTAATGGTCCCTGATGATTTCTATTAGTCCTGTTTTACTTATTCTTTCTGAAAATTAAGGGGTAAAGGGGAGGGTTTATATATTAGATCATTAATGTCTGATTCTTTTCCAAATATTTCACCTCATAAATTCTCATGGATTGGATAACCACTCTGTAGCAATCCTAAGAATCGACTAATATAATAATCTTGAAAGTCAGCAGAGTGGATTATCCACTTTTTTACCCTAGACTTGAACTGGAGAACAGTAACACTGCAAAACAAAAAACAAAGCACCCTCCACCCCCAAAAAAACAAAAATATAAACAAAAAAACATGCTAAGCACTTTTCCAGAGTGACCTTTCGTATAGATTTGTCATCTTAAATATACACAATCAAATGCTACAATTTTTCTGGTGGGGGTTTGGAAAAAGTTTCGTGATACTTCTTTTGTTTACATATGGATCAGCTATTTCTTTTTTCCCTAAAAAGTGGTTGTAATAGTAAAATAAATACAAAACAAGTCTGACCAATATAATTCATGTGCTGGGAGTTAAAACCCATATAAAATATGCAACTAAGTACACTTTAAAATCTTTTAAGGAATAATTCTCCTATTAAAAATATTTGTTTTCCTAACTTTTTCATAGATACAAGTATATTTTCAAAATAACTTTTTTTCCTCCACTGCATTCCATAAATAGTCATTTCTTTGTAGAGTTACTGTTTTTTCAACTTTGAGAAATTAAGTATTTTGACCAGGTTTCCTTGATTATTAATTCATCTTCACATTGTGATACTCTACACTATGGCCAACCAAAAAAGAGTTTATTTTTTATTTGTTTTTGGCAGATGAGACAAACAGGAATTGCACAGGTTCGACCTCCTGGAATTCCTAATGGTCCAACAGCTGACTCATCACTGCCTACAAACTCAGTCTGTGGCCAGCAGCCACAACTTGCTCTAACTAGAATGCCTAGCGTCTCTCAACCTGGAGTCCGCTGCCCTGGGCAGCCATTAGCCAATGGACCCTTTTCCACAGGCCATGTTCCCTGTAGCACATCAAGAACGCTGGGAAGCACAGACACTATTTTGATAGGCAATAATCATGTAACAGGAAGTGGAAGTAATGGAAACGTGCCTTATTTGCAGCGAAACGCACTCACTCTACCTCATAACCGCACAAACCTGACCAGCAGCGCAGAGGAGCCGTGGAAAAACCAACTATCTAACTCCACTCAGGTAATAGAAAGACTGGCTGCCTCACTGGCTTCTTCTCAAATAACAATTTGTTTTTATTGTGTGTGTGCAGCGCGTGCGTGCGTGTGTTGTGTGTGTGTGTGTGTATCTATGTCTGTCTATGTCCCGCACGTGTGCATTTATGTGCCTGTGCTTGAACACAAGGCCTGGGGCACTTATCATTTGAGTAATACCTTTATTTCTGGCTCTTTCTTTCCTGCCTGAATAGAGATAAGCAACTCAACAAGCTTCCTGCCCAGGATGGCTTTAAACAGAGCTCTCAGCCTCCTAAGTTGCTAGGATTACAAATGTGAACCAGTGGCACCGAGCATGGTTTTGTATATTTTGAGAAAAGAAAAATCAAAGTGTGAGGAATATGTTTTTGTTTTGTTTTGTTTTATTGTATTACTACTAGGCTTAAATGCAGGACCTCACACTCTCACTCACAGCTGGCACTCTACTACATGAGCCTCCTTTTCCACTTCCAACTTTTTGCTGCCTAATTAGAGCTAAGAATCTTGATACTCAGATCTCTACATCTTGAGTAACTAGATTTATAGGCTTAATCCACTGGGTACCTGCCTGTTTTTGTACTCAGTGTTATTACTGTGTTATCATTTGTGTGTGTGTGTGTGTGTGTGTGTGTGTGATGTATATATATATATGTATATATAATATATATATAAAATTATCACAAACATAATCTTGGAAATTTGCAAAGGAAGACTAAAATAACCATATGACATACACCTCTCTCTCTCCCTCTCCCCCTCCCCCCTCCCTCCCCCTCTCCCTCCCTCCCTACCTCCCTTCCTCCATATTTACAGTGTTAAACAAGAGTAAAGAATAAATAAGAATGTATAGGATCACAAAGGGGTGAGAACCAACTGAGAATAGAAAAGAACTCAAGATTGAGCCTCAGGGTATCCTAGTTTAATAGGCCAGGAAATTGAAAAACTAGCCAAGAGCAATTAAAGATGATTAGCCTGTGAAGGTTGTAGGAGATCCAGGAGAATGTTGAGTGATACCCTGGAAGCCAGTGCAAGGAGAAAGGCATGATCAAAGAGCATCTGAAATAATGCTCTTAGATCCAGTAAGGTGAACTGGAGCTTGATCATCTGAGGTATTTGATAACATTGATAGTGTTGGCAAATTATAGGTTAAAGGCAAAATTTACTCTGTAGCCTGTGTTTACTCATGGGTTGGTTTTTGTTGTTTTTCAGCCAGTGAACAATGGTGATTCTTGTATTTTTAAAAAAAGGATTGGGGAAAAAGAAAAATGTCTTTCATTATATGACCTACAATGCTTAAATATTTGATATCTGACCCTATCTAGAAAAGATTTTAAAACTGAGCAATTTCAGTTGATTGTTGGGGACAGAAGTCTAATTGTACTGGCTTCAGAATGAAGTGAAAGGAAAAAACTGGAAGTGGCAAGTACAGATAGTTCCAGCCTAGTCAAGTGGATATACACGTAGAATGTAGCTGTTTGTTTTTAAATTTAAAACGAAAGATAACAAAGCTAAGGGGAAGCATTCAGTAGAGAGGGAGAAATAGACAGGAAAGCAAGGGGAGAATTGTTAGGGTAGATTTGGAGACATAAATGGGGGGATTTTACTGTCTATTAAAAGTTCTGAGATTATAATTGGCTGTTAATAAAGGAGAGTCTTTGTTAGGTTGTAAGGTATGGTTTTATTACTTTTTTTACATCTAATTCCCTGGTTTTCTATGTTGCTGGAAATTAAAAAAAAAACACTAAACACTCTCTTAACCCTATTTTGGAAGTAATATAATTTAGAAAGTAATTCCTACCTGAGTGTTTTGGCATAGTCCTGTACCCCTTGCACTTGAGAGAAAGTCAAGAGTTTGAGGCCAGCCCATGCTCTGTAACAAGACCCTATTTCAAAGCCAAAAAAACAAGCAACAACAACAGAGACCCTAGTTTTCAGGCCACAAGGTGTGTGGCTGCGAATAATATGACAAGGAGCCTCAGCCCTTTAAGACTTATGTATGTAGGAGCTTTACTGTATAAGTAATGAAGTTAATATTTTTTCTAAAAACTGCTGCTTAACTGATTCTAGGCTGTAATTTTCTCAAATGAGGTTGCTTTGTATCACATGTCACTACAGCCAGGCAACCCATATCTGGTGTTAATATTCCAACTAAATAAGTTTTTTAATGGATACTGCCTCATACAAATCTATTAAGATATTTTTCTGAAGATATAATGAAAACATTGGTACATCTATATTATGTTAGTATAGCTTTCATCTTTTGCTGATGGGAAGAAATATTTTGATGCTAATTTGAACTATAGTTTTAAATGTTTAGTTATAATTTGTTTTGGGCATCACTAAGATTATGAGGTAAAATTATATAAATTATAGGTGATTCTTTATCAGATGCTCTAAATTTATGCTTTAAATGTCCTGAATGGCAGTTAAAGAAGATATAATAAATAAAATGGTTATTTTGTCTCATCTGCATATTATAATCTGTTAAATGATTAATTTTGTGAATTAAATATTTGATGAATTTTGGCTTATCTACTGAGACTTGCTTGAATAATATTTTAGATATTGATGTATATATTACATGGAGTATTTTGTCTCAAATTTCCATGTAGCCTAAAGATTTTGTCTTTTAACTGACTTAGGATTGAACTTTTACTTAATCATGTTTTTGCACTCATGCTTATTGATATGTACCAATAGTAATGTTCATTTTTGAGTATATAGACTTATTAAATCAAACATCACTAGATTTTCAGCTGTAGAAACTGGTATTAGTGCCATGAAAGCTGATTTTAACTAGATGATTAAATTCAACCTTTGGTATACAAATACCTTGTCATCAGATACATTTTTTATATTTTTATAGCTTATGACTTCCAAATTAAATTTCACCTTCCATACAGGCTTCTATCTAACCTTGCTACTGAAGTAATTTAAAATACACTAATCTTAATTTATTTTCTGGGGATGCATGTCCCATTATTATTGGGAATATAAGATAAAAATATATGCAAATATGTAATTATGATAATCTTGTAAGTTCCAAAGAAGTTACAAGTTTTGGTAGGAAGTTGTAACAATCTGGAAGCTATGAAATTATTGTTTCACAATTCTGATATTATCACTATTGCTGAAAAATACTATTTTGTCCATAAATCGAATTGAAAATAGTCCTCAAGATGTTTCTTTCTGGCACCAGGGGCCATTTTCAGGTAAAAATCACACATTTCAGTTCCATTTATTTATTTTTTTATCCCATTAGATGCCTTAAGTGATCCTCTTCTGGATTTAAAACTTTTATCTAATATAGAATACTATCCCACCAAATTACTTGAACAGAGACAGCATATTTTCCTGAGTTATTTTTGGCTTTTTGGTCAGTCATGGGGCTTGAACTCTGGGCCTGGGTGCTGTCCCTCAGCTCTTCAGCTCAAGACAAGTGCTCTACCAGTTGAGCCACAGCTCTACTTCCGGATTTCTAGTGGTTAATTGGAGATAAGAGTCTCATGGAGGGGCTGGGAAGGTGGCTCAGTGGTAGAGTGCTTGCCTTGCATGCATGAGACCCTGGGTTCGATTCCTCAGCACCACATAAGCAAAAAGAAAAAA